TCACATGCTTAGATTTTGGTCGTCCTTAAGTGTTTGTGTTAAGCATCTACGATCTACCTGATGAAAGTGAAGTATCTGCTAGCTAAGATTTGTATGTAAATCAACCTCCTGTCAACTCTACTGCATTGCTATAACTTCCCGAGCTATTACTTAAACGCAAGCCTCATTTGAAGTTGTTGACAATATTTTGATTTTGGGTTTGTATTTTTTTAATTAATTTTGAGGAGCTGTGAATCATCTTGTGAAATTTACTATTTAATTAAGTAGACCTGATGCTTCTCATGCAACAGGCAAGCACAGAATCCAAGGAATTGGAGCTGGTGTCATCCCTCCATTATTGGACTTTGACATAATTGAGGAAGTTTTAAAGGTAAGGCTCAGAAGCTTTCTCTCCATTATCAGTCTGAATTGAATTCTTGAAACAATTTGCCTTTACAAACTCAGATCAAATGTTTAGAATGCCTACGGCTATTTTGTGGGAGACGCTAAACAGAAAGTGTCTGGATTGAATTCAGCCTTAACTTTGTTTTATTATCATTCTCATTTTGAAGAACAAAAAAGAAATTCATTGCCTTGTAATAGAGAAATTCTCCCTTAATTCAGTTATTCTTAAGATTGTGAGATGAGGTATTCCGTAACAAACATATTTTTAACACCTTTCTTTGATGACATGAAGTAACTTTTAAAAACAGTTAGTTCTTGCTCTTGCTCTTAAAGAAACACGGTGCATAGTTTGCATTCTTTGAGCACTCACAACAAAAGGCAGCTTGATTGCTTGCTTTTGGTCTCAATGGTGCTTAATTGGTGATAGTATTGACAACTAGATCCAAAGACACTAGTTTAGGTAATTGTAAAAAGATTTGATTGAATGAACGCCCGTGAAAAGATACTTATTATTCTGCAATGGGAGTTATTGAGACTACCAGACTTTATGCAGTGCAAGTATAACATACAGCTCTGCCTCGGCAGAAACTGGAGTGTTAGGCCAGGGTCTATGTCTAATAATGTCTATATTCTGTCGTCGTCATCACTTAAATCCAACTCAAATTCCAGTTTTGATGCTTAGTTTTGGCCCTAAACAACCCATATTGAGACAAGTAGATAGCTTGTGTAACATCTTAATTTGATGTAATAGGTGACAAGTGATGAAGCCATTGAAACTGCAAAGCTTCTTGCATTGAAAGAAGGTTTGCTGGTAAAATCACTTCAATTAATATTCTTTCTATTATATCCATCTCAGTGATGACTGTGATGAGTGTTCTTTCATGCATCATATGTGAACTTGGTAAACTTGCAGGTTGGGATATCGTCAGGAGCTGCTGTAGCTGCTGCTATTAAATTAGCCAAACAGGCTGAATATGCTGGAAATTTGATTGTTGTAAGTAGAAAATATTCTAGTTGGCCTAACTCTATAACAGTTCTTGATTTTTTTTTTTCATTTGGAGAAACCAACTCATTGTGTTTGCATGCCATTTGAAAGAGGATAGGATATACGGAGAAAGAATTATCAATACACTATTAAGAAATGTCAACCCCATTAATCGCAGATAAGTTTAGAGTTTACTCTTCTGAAAGCTTTGCTTTTTGGAGAATACTCTTCCATCCTCATTTAGTTGGTAATAGTTCAATAGGCTTTAAGTCTAAGGTACCTCCGAAAAAACGAGGTTGGGGCTGTCATTCCTCATATGTTACCTTTGAAAACACAGCCTCTTGTACTGTTTATCAGCATTTGTACTGGTTTCAATCCAAAACGGCATTCTACATCAGGATATTATAGTTTCTATCCCAAACAGCATTCTACATCAGGAAATTATATTCTTACTCCTATATGCTTTGCAGGTGCTTATTCCTAGCTTTGGAGAGCGTTATTTATCTACCGAATTGTTTGAGTCGGAGAGGCATGAAGTGGAAGCTATGACTTATGAAGAGGTCGATTTGCCAATGTCACTGTTATAAATGACCGCCTAAAATAAGATTTGATCAATTGTAATGCTTTCTTAACTCATATTGATATATCTTATTATAATTCTTGTTTGTAATGGTGTCATAGGCTGGTGTATCTCCATGAAACAACCTTGATATGGTTAGATTTCGAAAATTATTAGTTTTAATTGTCGCATTGTCCAAACCCCTCATAGTTAAGGTTATGACATGAATGATGATGATAAGTTCTGGACCTTGGTTGCTGATTTATAAAAATATTGTTCCCATCGTTCAACTTTTGAGTAAGGGTTATAATGGAAAGTTCAATTATAAACCGTTTCTATTTCAAGATAGGTGACAATTTATTCGGACATCTTACTTTAATTTAAGGCCATGTTTGATTCATATGATAATATGAGAAAAGCCCCTTAGCGTTATAAAGTAATTAACTCCCTCTTCTTCAACCAATGTGGGACACTTACATGTGGTGATACTTGGGAGGTCTATCTTCAACACTCCCCTTCACAAGTAAGATCCTTTTTTTAGGGTTTTTCTATACAGTAACCCTGTTTTTTTTACTTTTCTACGTTGTTCCCCAACATATATGACTTTCTACACTGTAACCCCAATATACCTTTTGTTTCCATACGATAACCTTGCCGTTATCCTGCCGTTAAAAAATTCCGTTAGTGGGGCCCACTCTCTATTTATTAATATTCTTTTTATCAAATTGGTATTCTGTCAAAAGTTTCGGGGGCTATTTTGGTCCTTAAAGGTCCAAATTGAGCTCAGATTTGGCAAAAAAATAACGTAAATGCCTCGTTTTTCTTATTAAAAATGTCTCTGTTTACACAAATTTCGAGTCTAAATTAATAAAGACGAGAAATAAAGTAACAAATGAATTTTATATTAATATGTGAATTTTGGGTACAATCTCTATATAACAGTTTATAATAAAATAAACTAAATCCTCTGATTCTGTTCCGCAGCTTGACGATGACACGTGTGTGACACCTGTAGGGTGACGTTTGATGACGTCGACTTGAGTTTGAATGCAGGGTGACGTTTGATGATGTCAACCTGTATTCAAGGGTTTTGTTTGAATACACCTGAACAAGGGCTTATGAAGCTTAATCCCGTTCAAATGTGTTTAAGTGTATCTGAACAAGTCGGCACAAATTTGATGTGCTTGTTGACTCACTTAAGAGAGAATTCCTTTTGAGTTTTATGAGCTCTTGGAATAATGATTTCTGGATCCCCTCAACTAATGGAGGAATGCCGTATTTATAAGAGATGAAAACCCCTTAAGTGGACTTAGTAGGTTTCGGCCTGGCCCATTTTATGACTTAAAAGTCTTTAAACCTGGTCCAATTTGATTTATTTTATAACCCGAATTGTATTTGATTAATTCGGATTATTTATTTGGGTGGGCCAAAAATAATTAAAATGGATCATTAAAATGATTTAACCCAAATTAATTTATTTAATTTAACGTATGACACTTATAAAATTTCCGTGTCTACAGTCTCGATTTACGTGTTCACATTATAACACACAAAACGAGACATTTACGTTATTTTTTTGTCAATTCTGAGCTCAATTTGGATCCCTAGGGGCCTAAATAGCCCCCGAAACCTTTAACGGAATACCAATTCGATAAAAAAAATATTAATAAGTGGGGAGAGTGGGCCCACTGACGGAATTTTTAACGGCAGGATAACGGCAAGGTTACCGTATGGAAACAAAATGTATATTGGGGTTACAGTGTAGAAAGTCATATATGTTGGGGCACAACGTAGAAAAGTGAAAAAAACAGGGTTACTGTATAGAAATAGCCTTTTTTTTTAATATAATTTTTTTATTATTAATTTATTATTATTATTATTATTATTATTATTATTATTATTATTATTTTTTATCTTTGTCTCAAATCAAAACAATGTTAGTAAGACTTAATTAATTACAAAAAGAAGAATAGAAATCATACCAAAAACAATCTAATCCGGGGGTTACCATTGACCCCAGGAAATCTTATCCGGGGGTTACCATTGACCCTCGAAAATCTGATCCGGGGGGTATTATTGACCTCAGAAACACATCCCAACACGCCTCCGAATAAAATCGTATAGCATGGAAATTTTAAGTAGAGCAGGGCAGAGCAGATTTCAGCAGAGCAAAGCAGAGCAGATTTCAGCAGAGCAGCTCTAAAGAACGGGGCCTTAGTGATCTTTGATTATTTATTATTATACATATGTGCATATACAAATGTACATATTAAAATATTTAAGAAAAATATACTATTATTATTATTTATTGATTTTTTTTATTATTATTATTGTTATTATTATTATTATTATTATTATTATTATTATTATTATTATTATTATTATTATTACTATTAACGAAGTCGGATTATTCTAACGGAGTCGGACTCGAATTATTTTTTTCTCGGACTCGAAGCGGATTTTTATCTCGGATCGGGGCGGAGTAGAGTCGGATCCGGATGGCTTCCGTTTGGAACACCTCAATTTGGAAGTTTTCTTTGATTTGAATTGCTAAAATGCTGGAATAGGAAGATCGATCTGTAATTAGGGTTATATCTGATTTGAACTACTAATATGAGTAATATACTACGTATTTTGTTTTGTAAATTTGTGATATTCTGTTTCTAGAAAAAGTGAGTTGATTAAGCTATAATTCGCTCAATTAAGCGAATTACAATTCGCTCAATTCAGCGATAATATGCTCATTTTAGAGCAACTCCAATGGTTGGGAAAAGGGACTAGCTTGCAAATATTAAAAATCTTAAGCTAGTAGCTAAACCATTGTTTCACATATTGTTGATTAGCTTTGGCAAGCAAATTAGCTTTGTAGAGCTAATTAGCTTGGCAAATATTTATTAGATAAAAAATATTATTTATTTAAAAATAAATTAATTTTCAACTAGCTTAACCATTTGAGCAACGAATAGCTTGAATTGTTGTAGCTTAAGAAGATGATGTGGAATGTCAAGCTATTCAATAAATTAGCCAACCATTGTAGTTGCTTTAGCGATAATTCGCTCAATTCAGCGACAGTTCAGCGATAATTCGCTCAATTTGAGCGACAATTCGCTCAATTCAGCGACAATATGATTTAGCCCAATATTAACAGTGAATTTCAATTTGTCGAATTATTCAATGAACTCTATAATCTTCTCTTAATGTATGTCGTGTTGCGTCCCATTTGTGTTTGAATGGTGCATATGCCTCCGGGGACTTTATGGGCTGAATTTGAAGGTAGGGACAGGTTCTTATATAGCTGTGTTATCAAATCTTGTGTTATCAAATCTACAGTTCCATGATCTGGGTAACAGTGAGATAGTACTCAAATAGGCTTCCATGATTTCTGTGGGAAGTGAAGTCAGCACTCTGTGACCAAGTTTTATCTCTAGCTGAATACAGAACTCAATTATATGATTGATTATTTGAAAAGCAAGATGAACGCAATCGCTCCAAATTTGACTTTCCTTGGTGGAAGCTTGATAGATCTTGCAAAGCAGCCTGGGAGCACAGTACAATTTCTTGGAGCAGAACTTTGAAAACTAAACAGGCAACCCATAAATATGGGCTTATCTATCATGCTTCCTTGATTGAGCAGGCTGCTCCTAAGCACAAGGGTAAACTATCTTGTTCTCTTGCAGCAAAAACTGTATTGGCTATTCGTTATTATGCTCTTGGAGATATCCCTGACCACATTATGGGTCTTGAGAATCAAGCCAAGGTAACAGCCCCATGATCAAATTTCTGCCCACTTTTTTTCTTCTATTTTATTTTTATTATGAATATCTCTGGACCTGTTCTCATATACCCTGCTTCATTTCTTCTAAAACAGCTTGAAGCCCGTCTAAGAAATCTTGAAGGTAAAGTGGGCAAATCTGCAGAATCAGCCAAGGGAAAACCACAAATACAAGTCTATGACAAAGATCGTAAGAAGGGAGCAGGAGCACTAATTACCCCTGCTATTTTGTTTACCAATTCACTCCTTGCTTCTCTTGCATGTCTTGCCTTGCCAGGTTGTCAGTTTTTTTTTTTTATTTCCCTTTATTTTAACACTGCATTCTATCTTTTGCAGACGTATAATCCTGCAGCTGGGGGCAAGAAAAATTTATTAGCACTTCAAAACTTTTTGTAAAGGTGGAGAGGGTAAACCCTCAAGTGCATAAACAGCCTTCCTTCACCAAGAAACTAAACAAACCTGCCCCGAACCTCCAAACAACTATCAAAGCAAGCAGAACAAATTCTATACAAGCATTAATCCTGTAAAGCCAATTGCAATCCTCTTTGCTCCATTTGGGAGAAATAAGCTACTGCATCCTCCTCTCCATTTAGGATCTGCAATCTACTAAGTTGTTTATTGTTATTCACATGCTCTCAGTCTGTTTTCTAAGTGATATCTTACTTCCATATTGCACGCCAAAATTGTGCAATGCTGGAAGATAATAAATATTCTTAATCTGCTTCTCTCATTGGATAGAACTTCACTTCAGTAGTGTGATTCATCCATAGCTCTCAATACTTTCTATACCAGTGTTTGAGTTTTGTAGTTAACTAATGATACTGCTACTGTTTTTAATTTGTTAACCAGTGTGCTCGACTTTTTAAAATTCTTCAGGTAGTGAAGCTGAAAGCATTTTCAAGTTTGAAAATACATCAGAAGCTTTAGCAGCTACTACTTTATTGATTGATGCCAATACTCGTGAATGAATGCTGTTATTTCTGAAATTGATGCTGGCAATTATTTGTTAATACTCGTGAAATGCTTTACATCGCGATTGGGTGATCATTCAAACTAACTTGTGGCTGAATTGCTGATTGGGTGAATGAAATATGCCCTCTTGATGTTAAAAGCTGGAAAGATATGCATGAACAGGCATTAGATTGATTATATGGAAGGATTAAGGTATGCCTAAATAGTTCTCAGAACTCTCAATTGTCGTGAAATTAGCCTAATAAATGAAATATGACAAGTACATAAATCAAGTCTCAGATTATGAAATGTTAGTCTCAGATTAAGGTTGATTATTGAGCTTCTTGATTGTTTTTGTGTCTTGTCTAATATTTACAGGAATTTGAAAACTCTGGACTTATACGAAAGTGAAGTTAATGATTCAAGTGGGAATTGGATAAGCCATTTTCCGGATACTTATACCTCATTAGTTACTCTGCCTCATCTCAGAGCTGCAATTCTCTTCTCTCGAGCGTTTGGTAAGCAGATGCCCAAACCTGAAATCACTCAGGCTCAACAGTGCAGTGCCTCTGGATAAGCTCTCAATTCTCTGGGAGAAGGCTCCTCAGTTTGTTGACATTGGCTCTGGCTCATTTTTGACTGAGCTCGACACTGAAGGCCATGATAAAATTACTAGGGCATTTGCTGGATGTAAAGGGCTCAAGGGGCTATCTGGGCTCTTTGATGTTGTCCTTGCTTATCTTCCCGCCCTATGAAATTAAAGAGGTGGATTATTGCAAGTGGCTACAAATACGGGTGGGTTTAGGCAAGATTTTAATAAAAAAGGGAAATTATGCATCATGATACCCTCTTTAATGTCAGGAACATAAAGGAAATTATGTGCCATGATACTTTCTAATCAATGATCAATGCAGGTACTTGATTACATTGAAGACAGTGGCCTTGAAGTGCTTGCAGAATCATGCAAGGACCTGCGGGAGCTACGCGTCTAATATGTATTCCTTTCTTTGTCATCAAGAAATCCAATATTCGTTAATTGCAAATAAGAAATATTGTACTTGTATATTTTGTTTACTCAAGGGAACAAGAGATATAATTAGATACAAACTCTAATGTCTTAATTATTATTATATTAGGATACTATCGGATTATCTAAAGCCTATATATATACACCTGCTCATATGTTTCATTGTTTCAATACACGACTACACTTTTAAAAATCAGTTACTTTGATTCTCTTGCTTATCTCTTAACTACGGTGATTTTGTTTTAGAGGTAATCGATTCCACAAATATTTTGCTACATATATTGTCTTATAAAAATATGGAAATGCTTTAACTATAATGCCCATGTTTGACATTTGTTATCTGTCTAATTTTTTATTTTATTTTACAACCACCAGAATTCCAAAATTATAGTTATTGTTACCACTTAACATAATTCGTTAGGGTTTCTGTAAGTGGGGCCTATTATTTCATTAAATCATAATTTAATTAAATAAATAAAAAAACTTTTAAAAAAATTCCCAGCCACCCCCCCTCCTCGTGCCGGCTTCTGTCGCCCGTGTCGGCGCCCAAACATTCCCCGATGTCGGCCCACCTCCTCCATTTCCCCTGCCCACTTTGCCCCAAAACCATCCTAAACGAGTGAAGACGTAACCCTAAAACCCGTTTAGGGTGGTTTAGACTTTAAACAAATGGATTTAGGGTAGGGGTGTCAGTTTTCAGGTGGGGGAAGGAGAAGGGGTGTGGGTTTACCGAGGCTATGAAGGTTGAATTTGGTTTTGTATGTTTTAGACATGGATTTGACAACCAAATTTGACCACCATAGCCTCGGTTTTGGTAGTTGTCTGAACAGTGTGACGGTGAAGAGGAGAGATAAGGGCGGTGAAGAGGGGCTAGCATTGAAGATTGATGTCGACGGTAAAGATTTGATGTAGCCGGTGACACAACATGGGTGGGGAAAGGGAGGGGGGTGGGGTCGTCGGTGACACAACATGGGTGGGGAAAGGGAGGGGGCTGGTCGGTGGCAGTGAGGGTGGCTGGACAGTGGTTGGGCCCCACTAACGAAAATAGTAACGACATAAGGCAACAGGTAGTGATAACTACGTGTAATCTTTAAGAATGATAAATTTTGTTAATCTAGTATAATATTGTAAATCATGAGATTTTCTGTGTGGCTGGACACACGGTGTGGCTGGCCACACATGACAAAAGTAGCCCCTGCGACCAAGTAAGTCCTAACCAAGTAATCCTTGAACGGACCACCTGATAACCCCAAAAAACTACCACCAAGAACCACCACCAACGAAAAACTACCAATCTAAACCACCAATGAACCATTACCAATCTAAATTTCCAACGAACCACTACCAACCTAAACCACCAACGAAACCAAATCTAGAATCCAGAACCACCAAACCACCACTACCCATCCACGAAACCACCAATACCCACCCAACCAAACAAGATCTAGAACCCAAAATTACCAAACCACCAACCTAAACCACCAACAAACGACTTCAACCTAGAAACGAAACCACCACCAAGCCACCAACCAACTCAGATCTAGAACCCAAAATTACATGGCTTCTAATTTGAATTTGCTTCAGATTCAAATCTCTTTTATAAGAATTACTTTGGTCAAGAATTGCTTTGGTTTAAGATACGTTTACAACTCAACAACAACAAGATCTGGAAATAGGTGTACGAAGACGACAACGGAAGTTGGTGTACAAAGATGACGGTAAAGTTCTTGTACGAAGACGATAAGGTTTGAGTAGATTGAGATGCTGAGTTGCGATGAAGAGATCAAAGAGTCGCCAAAAAGTATGAATGCCGACAAGGTATTGCTGTAGAAAATGGTTATGGAAGAAGAAAAGAGGAAAGAGAAAATAGAAGAAGAATTAAAAAAAATATTGTGCAGTGCAGCCAGTCGCATATGAAACCCATATCAGCTTTATGTGGGTGTTATTGTTTTCTTGGATTATGGTTCAAGCAGCTTGCTTTGTATTGTGCTGCTGATTGCTGTGTTGCATTACACATTAGCATCATTTGATGGTGAATTAGCTAAGAAGGTTATAAATGTAACTTGTTGTGGACAGGCAGATGGCTGGATTGTAGAGAAGATACCTTTGCTGGAGAATCCCAATCGTGTTCAATCGACAAGATTTTGGGGTGTTTACACAAGGCTTAAGATATTTAACATGACAAATTACCAAAAGGGTAACTTGATTTATGAGATATCATACTTTTGATCATCCAGTTCTGTTTATGGTTTTCCATTACTATGCAAATGCTTGTTCTATGTCGGTTTCTTGATTGCTGACTAGACAAACTTGTGTGTGTTGTGCAGTTGTGTATCTTGATGCAGATACAATCGTGATCAAGAGCATCGATGAGCTTTTTAGATGTGGGAAGTTTTGTGCTAACTTGAAGCATTCTGAAAGACTGAATTCTGGCGTCTTGGTTGTCGAACCATCTAAAACTCTTTTTAGCGACATGGTTAAGAAAGTTAGTACCTTGCCTTCTTACACTGGAGGTAATAGCTCTTCCTATAACCTTTTAATATTTTAAGCATGTTTAAGAAGTTTCGTGCTGAGGCTAATTTTGGTTAGGAGACTTTCAAAACCAAACTTAGGGAGAAGTTCTATCCACCATTCTTAAGGAAACAAAAGGCTCAAGAGTTCATCAATTTGCAAATGAACAATATGTCGATTACTGAGTACTTTAACAAGTTTATGAACTTGTCGATGTTTGCTCCTGAGGTAGTGCCTACTGAGGAGTTGAAGGCTCAAAGGTTTGAGCAAGGTTTAACTAAGCTGTTACAAAAGGACTTGGCTGGAAATACTTTTAAGACTCTTGATAAGGTGTATGGGAGAGCAACGCACCTGTACAATTTGAATGTCAGGAGCGCACCTGAGAGTGGGAGTGTTGGAGAAAAGCGTAAGGATTTTGGGAATTCGAGTGACCAAGGTAACTTTAAGTAGCCAAGGAACGAGAATTTCCAGAATATATAGGAATGTTCAAAATAATGGAGGATAATCTAGACCTAATGGCCAAGCTGAGAGGCATTACAACTGCAAGAGATGTGACAAGGATCATCCTAGAAAGGATTGTGATGGGAACTTGGTGGTGTGTAGATTCTGTAATAAGAAAGGTCATATGGTGTTTGAGTGTTTTTCCAAATTAAAGCAACAAGGGAATGGGAACAAGTTTAATGCAACAAGCAATCAAGGAGTTAATTCGAATGGTCATAATGGGAATGGAAAGAACGGAAATGTTGGCAACAACAACTCCGGGAATCAAGGAAAGAATGTCACTCCAGGTCGTTTGTTTGTGATGAGCAAAACGGAAGCTGAAAGGTCATCTGACGTTATCACTGGTAACTTTTCTATTCATTCTATTTGTGTTAAATCTTTGTTTGATTCTAGAGCCACCTATTCTTTTATTTTTGGTTTTGTTGTAGTGAAACAATTAGGACTAGTGGAACCAAATTTGATCGACTTGCTTATTAGTTTGCCTACTAGTGAGGCTGTGAGGTGCACCACGATACATAAGGGTTTACCTTTGAGGATTGGAGAGATGGATTTTCCATCTGATCTTATAGAATTTGAGTTGGGTGACCTTAATGTCATTTTGGGAATAGATTGGTTGGCCATTTATAAAGCTAAGATTTATTGTGAGATACAGAAGGTTTATTTAAGGAGTCCTTTGGGGGAGATAGTGTCTTACAAACATTTTGGGAAACCAAATGGTATTGGAATTATTTCTGCGATGAAGTTGTCAAAACTTGTAGATATAGGGTGTCCTTTGTTCTTTAGTTGTGTGTAAGACTTGGAAATGAGTAGTAAGGTGGATGTGGAAGATGTTTCAATTGTGAATGAGTTTTTGGATGTATTTTGTGAAGAAGAAAGATGGGAGCATGAGATTGTGCATCGATTATAGGGAGTTAATAATGTGACAATAAAGAATAAGTACCCACTACCAAAGGATCGATGATTTGTTTGATCAATTGAAGGGAGTTAGTGTGTTTTCCAAGATTGATTTACGTCCGGGGTATCATTAATTAAGGGTGGTTGATAAGGATATGCCTAAGACTACTTTTAGGACTAGATATGGGCACTATGAGTTTACAGTTATGCCTTTTGGGTTGACCAATAATGCACCTACAATCTTTATAGACTTGATGAATCGAAAATTCCATGAGTATTAAGATAAGTCTGTGGTTGTTTTTATTGATGATATTTTAGTATACTCGAATACTGAGGAAAAACTTGAGCCCTTGGGAGGCCGAGGATTATATGAGAAAGAGATATCCAGGTGAGTTACGAGGGCGTAACTCTTGTTCTTTAAGGGGGTGAATGCGTATAACTTCACGCTTTTTGCCCTATTTTATGCTATTTTATGGTGTTTTCATGCTTTTCATAGCTATTTTATTGTTTACGTATCTAGTGAAGTGCGTAAATTGGGATGGTGATAAAGTATTAGTGTCGATATTATGACAAAATTGGAATTCCAGCAACATAATTTTGAAATTTTTGAAATGGCTTTATGCAAAAGCTTTGCAATTTAAGGGATTTTGTGCTAAGTTTTAGGACGAAACTTCTTTTAAGAGGGGTAGATTGTAATCCCCGTATTTTTTAAATATTTTATAAATGAAATTTTATTTTATTTGTAATATTTATTAGTATTTTTCCGGGATTTAATTTTTAAAGTTTCAAATTATTTTCGGGTTGATAAACGATTTTATTACAAAGAGCTTTTTATAAACCTTCCTTCTATAATTTATGTCCAATAAACAAAGCTTAGTCCATTTTTATTCCTTAATTGGCCCATTATTTTTATGAGGCCCAATATTCCTACTTACCCTACAACTCTTTCTCCTATAAATACCCCATAAACCCCCAAATTTTTCTCACACAAAAGGTTATTTGTTTTCTCTTCCCTTTTTCCTTTATTTTTTTTTCTTTTTTCTTTTCTTTTCCTTTTTCTTTCTTTTTCTTTCTTTCTTTTCTTTTCCTCCTCCTTATCACGTGAGAAAGCTGCTGCCCCCATTTGCTGTCCCCACCTGCCGCCACCGCTCTCTTCGTCGCCGGCGACCACCCAGCCAGCGCCTGCCACTGCAACCACCTTTTCCCCCCTTCTTCCTCCCTTGTTTAATCTACTTTGTACAAATTTTAATGTATTAGTTTTGGGTTTTGATTTTATAGAATAAAGTTTAT